AGCCAAAGATGTCAACATCATCCTCTAAAGGCCACTGCATAAATAAAACATCCTCATACTAAAACGTTTGTCGCCTCCTTGAAAGGATTTCTGGGTTTTGATAACAAGAACGCGACGCGAAGATTCTACAAGACCAAGGAGTAGCTGCTGACAGACTGAACCAAAGCAACCAATGTACTTTAATGAAAAATCCATGGTTTACTGTGTTTAAAAGGAAATTTAAGACTCTTTTTTTTTTTTTTAATAAAACAGACAAACAAACAAAAAAAAATCTGCTTTAATAGAATTTCTACTTGGCTGGGAATCATTTGTATTCATTCCTCTACTGTTGTCCAGATGAGCTGAACAGTAAGATGAGCTATTCAAGCATTAAATCAAGATTTTGCTTTAATTTCTGCTATGCTTTTCTGATAAAGACAGAGAATGATAATGATTGCAGCTAGCCAAATCTGGAGAGCATTGCTATTTCAACTCCTAGTCAATATCCAGTGCATCCACTGGGGTCTTGGCTGGTGTTGAACTAGCCCACACTTTGGTATAACACACTGCTCCTAATGTGAATTAATACATAAGTGCACTCTCTTGGATGACATCTCCATTCATGCTCTACAGAAACATGGAAGAATCTGAGCAGGTTAAAATTTCATAGAATCATTCAGGTTGCAGAAGATCTGCCAGATCCCCAAGTCCAAACGCCAACCCATCAAAGCCGTTGGGTAAGAGGAGGTCACTTACACTCAGGTTCACATCTGCACCCTCAGCTATGCCTACCAGCCTCAACTTAAACCAAAATCAGATTAGGGGCAGGCAGATAGAGAAGATTTAGGAAGAATACGTGTGACATAACCTCATAATCTCTCATCATGAAGGCCACGCTCGAGCCCCTCTCGCTCTGCATTCCTACACAGCTAACAATCTTCCCAATATTTCTACTTGGCAGAGGGAGTGCTGTCACTAAATTGCTGAAGAACACACCAGAAGGGCATGAAGAAGTTCCACGAGGCTGAAAACACAGCAGAACTGTAATAAAGTATATGTGATTAAAGCAATCCTGGAGACTGGCACATGAAAAACCCATTAATACTGAGAGCATGACTACAGACAATCCCAGGATGAGCTACAGAAACTCAAAATTCATAAATATTAAATATATATATATATATATATAATTTTTCTACATTAAGGATTTAATTTAAGTGGAAAGCAATTCATATATTCTCAGATCTGCATTCAGCAGACCATGGTATTCTTTCAGATGCACTAATGCATTCTATACATGCAATCACACACATGATCACAACCAGGGGAGAAAAAAAAGAGAGAAGCCTAAGCTTCATAATACACTCCTTATTTTCCACGGTAATAAGCCTTTGAAGAATGACCAGATGTCAAGCACAGAAAGGGAAATTCACACCCTGACGTGTTTTTCTTGTATTTTTGCACAACTTTCTTGCCATACTGTATCAACAAGGCTTGTCCTCCCTATGTAATTGCTAATTTATTCTAACCACTTTATTGTTTTCCAATGCATTCTATATGCGAGACAGAAATTAAAAGTCATTCCATAATTTTTCTTACGCTAAGAAAAAAGGAATCATTCATTAAAAAAGACTGCAAGTTATTAATTTATATAAATAATCTGGTTTCCTCTCCTCCCTTTAGGCCCTTCTATAGAGAGTTTCATTGGCTTGCTTCAGTGCAGCATTACTGATTATGACATGCACATAGAAAAATAACAAACACTGACGTATGGGAACGTGAAGAAAGATTTGTATGATAAATTACAATTCCAGAAAAAAAAATTAAAAGAAAAAAAGCCTAACTTACACCATGCAATGAGAATTGTGCACACATTGCAAATCTCTGTGAGATACATCTGCGTTAAAGGCCATTTTAAGTAGCAGCACCAATACAGGGGGAAAAGAATGAAGTTCTCCCGGTCTGAGGTTAATGATGTTTGCTTAATCAGCCTGAATCAACAGCATTATGCAAACAAGCGAGAAAAACAATCTTAATTACCATAAAAATATATCATTATGAAACAGAAGAAAGTGCTCGCTCTTGCCCTCTCCGGCATACGATTAGGAAAACATTTGCACTCTAAAGTTTAGGATTTATTAGCTGAACTCTGTGCGTTTCATTTCAACATCAGAAAATGCAAAGAACAGAAATGATATTTGAACTCTGCTTTCAGGCTCTTCTTCCTTGATGTGAGCTCAGATTTACTGTTGCCAGACCTCTGACCACAGCAGGCTGCCTGCTATGCGTTTCCCTGCTCCTGTTATAAAGCCATCACCTCTGAAGGCTCGTTTCCTTTTCTACATACTGTTCTTTTCAGCTTAATCTCTCAAGGCCTTGGCACAGCGCTGAGCCACTTAGCAGTGTGATTAATGGTATCACGGGGCAGAGAAAGCACTGCGCAGAACATCAGCGCCGCTTCACGTCTCTGACTTACGTGGGATGAAACAAACATTTGGAGTGCAGGGCTGCAGTAACTGACGGTTATTGATCACTAGGGAAAGTTTCTCCTCGTAAGGAGCGTTGGTGGCAGCGGCACGGCTGCACAGGGGGTGCTGGGGTCACTGTGGAGGTGTCCCAGGGCTGTGGGGATGCGGCACTGAGGGCTGTGGGCACGTTGGATGGACCTGTGGATCTGAGAACTCCTTTCTAACCTTAATCATTCTGTGACTCCACGTCCTCGAGAGCCAGAATTCCTTTCCCAGGACTGAGCTCACGCTGACCTTGCTGCAAATTGTTTCTCCGCAGATAGCGCAAGGCTGGCACACAGCAACGAGCCTGGGTTGCTAAAGCTGCCGGTTCAGCTGGCCGACTAACAAAGCACCAAAGCATCGCTTTGCTCAGGAGCCCGTTTCTGACCCAAAGATAAGAGAAAAAAAACCGTTGGACTTTTTACTCCCCACAAAAGCAACCAGGCTTGGTCATCGTGAGGTGCATTACTCAGTTCTCTTAATCACCAGGAAAGCAATTATGCCAAGTAAGGTGCAGTGCACAGGAGGGAGCAGGATGGTGACTGATGGCCTCACCTGACGGCCAGGTGGCCATCGGACCCACGAGTGGCAACTGCTGGTGGGGACATCCAGCCCCACTGGAGGGGGACTTGAAGGAGGAAGGGCTGCTGGGTAGAAACCACCTCAGCACGGTGCAGGCAAAGCTGTGCTGGTAATGGCACATTGAAGGAAATACAGAGGGCCCTGCAGTGGGTGGGGATGAGTAACGAGCTATAAACGAGGCAGGTGTGGCCCTGCAGTATTTCCTATGCTTTGCTTCCCTCCCCAGAAAACCACCGCAGAGGTGGCAGCCCGCAGGGTTTGTGCCATGCGTTGTGGGCACAAGGGCTTGGAAGGGCCTTTTAGGAAAACATGATGTGAGCTATGAGTTTTTCAGTAGAAGTAATCTTTTTTTTCAAAGAATGAGGGAAGGGGATTTGCCCAGCCTGGATGAGCAAAGATCTCATTCATCAACTACTGAAGAATTTAACTTCAACCACATGAAGGAGCCCAGCGTGTTTGTGCCTGTTGGAGGCACCAGGTTCAGGTGATCGCTTGCGGCGTTTACCTTTAGCTCCATAACTTCAGAACATCAGAAGAAAAGAAAAAAAGAAAGCAAAGGGAAAAAAAAAAAAGAAAGCAAAGGAGAGAAAGGAGGAGGAGAGAAAGAGGAACCCTCACTATGGAAAAAAAAATTACTATATAGCCAATGGACCAAACTGCAGTGCTTTTGGTGCAAGATTTTGTTTTGGGTAGAAATAATCTCTCATTTCAGCTTTAAAGAAAGCTTCTCATTTCAGATTTAAAGAAATCTGAATGCTAGCTGAAATAATAGTTGCCAAAGAGGTGACACTTGTACTTAGATTTCCTGCAAGTGTCGCCTGCTGGACAGCCCCAGGAACCCCATGCATCTATTTTTTCAGCTGCAAAGTACATTTCTGTAGTATTGTTTCAAACCTGATTTATAGCACGTAGCAAAACTCCACTAATTCTTGATCTGGAACCATCGCCTGACTCGCTATAGCTGAACTACGAAGGTGCTACCTTATCCTGTTTGCTAGTTCCCTCTTCTAATTCATTCTGTCCTTCAGCAGGAGAAGGAAAACCAAAGATGTTTGGAACTCGTATCCTCCATGATATATTGACGTTCATAACATAAATATCATTATGTATTTCATGTATCACAACTTCCCTGCCTGCTTTTATTTCTTGCTACGCATTACTTTCATGCGCCAGCTTCATTAAGTCGCAGGAAGATGAACCCCTTGAATAATGGCAGAAGAATTACAGCACGGTGTGAGCACGCACAATGTGCCATGAAGCTGATAGTGTAAGAAACCTGAGGGGCAACCAACATCTCCACTTGAAATCAAAGTTGGAGTGCATCCCCACCACTGCTGAGCAGTAACCCCACCACCAACCTGTGCCCAGCAGGTTCAACACTGCAGGGTTCAACGCAGGTACGTCACACAGCTCCAAGAAATGAAGATGGAACGACCTCCGCTGGCTCTGCTTCACTTCAGATGTTTTGCCTTTGGTCACCGTGGCAGAGACACGAATCACGATGTCGCACCAGCTCCTACAGTCATTTCTCCATAGAGCAGCTGGCAGAGTTTTCCAAAGCACAACCAGCTGCAAAGCCGCCATCTGCAGGAGTTTTGTTAGCGAGCTTGGAGAATAATTCACTGTAATTATGCCCCGAAAGATTCTCACCCATCAGAAGGCTGAACCCCATTTCAAACCTGAATTAATTGTCCTCCTTACGTAGCTACAGGCCACAGAAGAGCTTCTACACGTGCACTGTCATCACCTGAAAGTGAAGGTGGTTGCATCCACTGGGGCAAAAATGGCATTGAAACATTGAGGAAAAGCAATGAAAATGTACTTTCCATGCTCTAATGTAAAAGTCTATCGTTAAATAACACACACACTATCAAAGATACAGCATTAAAGAATGGACAAGCACCTCCATCTCTAAGATCAATAGTTTATTTCATTTTAAATTTATTTTTTTTTTACATTTTGGATGTTACAGGAGAGGAAACACTTGCTAAGGAGAGCGACACGTTGAACCATTTTCCTTCGGTCATGAAAGAAATTGAAGCATATTGCCTAGATGCACATTTATGTCTAAACTGCCAATATTCAAGTCAGCAAGTGTCCATCCCTGCCCCGTCCTTGCGTAGGTTAGATCGCAGTTCTCTCCTCCTACAGGAAGACTGAATTGTGGCCTCAATCTTTGTTCTCCCCCTTTATCCATCCGCAAACAAGTCAAGCAGATGGAAACCAAAGCCACAACAGTGGAATCATTGCCAATGTTCCTTTTTTACCTTCGTTTCCAACCGGTTCCTCACTGCCCCAGAAGGTACAAAGAATTATAAATGAACTGGATAAAAATGCTCCTAATGTTTTCTCAATGGCATAATAATTAGAATCCTACTCTCCTTCCACAAAAAATATATAGATATATATAATTTTTTTATATAAATACATTTTAATACAGACAATCCTGACTCTATGCAAAAAAAGAAATAGTCAATGTCACATTCAAACAGGGTTCCTCAGTGTAGCATTGGGGTGCGAGCAGAAAGCACAGTGGGCATTAACACAGTGATTCTAGGCAGGCAGTTACTACAGAACAGATACAGACACACAATTCCACCCTCAGTCAGGCTGTGATATCAGATTAAGTGAGCATCACATTCTTCTGATACAGTTCCGTGCTTAGAAAATGAGATGAACAGCCAACGAGATTTCATGGAGGGGAACATTTGTATAAACAGTGCTCCATAGTCATCACACCTGTGCTGGGCATAGAAAAAAGGGCTGCTGGCATAACCATGGGATGGATGGAAGGGACCTCAAGGACCATCCACCACTTCCAATGCCTTGCCCACTCCAAAACGCCAGAGAAAAAGCATTTACATCTGCAACACCACCAAAACTTTGGGCTCCAATCAGCTGCCATCAACATTTTTCCTGTCCTTGTCCCCCTCCCTGCTTTTCTTACCCCAGAGTCAATGGACTGGGTCCATTGACCCAGTCAATGCATGTAAACCCATCTCATGACCGTCACAACACACACAGTTCTGATGGCTCTTCATTTGTTGGCCATTACACAGTTTCCAAAACTGAAAAGACTTTCTGCATTAAGAATGGGATAAATCCCCATCAGGGGGAGTTAATTCAGAAACGTCACGATATAAAGGACATCTTCACCATATATATACATAGATGGTAATAATTTAGGCTTTGCTCAATGACAGGAGAACAAAACTCCTGAAATTTAAACTATTCTTGGTGTGTTCTTGAAAATAAATCATTCTATTTCTCCCTTTGAAGTTTGTGGATTATTGGACCATGCAGGGAACCACAAACGTTTTACCACTGTTCTTCCTTGCAAACTCTGACATTTAAGTGAATTTCAAATAAAATAAGAAAGTTTGGGATATAACTTCCCTATTGTTTTTTAAAAAGGACACTATTAGCACCCACTTCTTCACCTCAGGTTAATTCACTACCAGTACACATCTAGTCGACGTCACATGGCGAGAGGCAACGACTCACTGCTAACATAATCTAGGTTGGATTTTGATGTGGCTTGTTTGTTTTTTTTTCATTCAGAAAGCCAGAATTTTCCACTCTGGTTCATTCAAACAGCGCTAAATAATTAAAATCATTTTGAAAATGAGAAAAATAAAATCATCATTCTGGTGCTGCTCGTGGGCAAAAGCAGCGCATCCCAAGTCAACAGCGTAGATTTCCATCTGGTTGTGCAGCAGCATAAAGGAAACTCCCTCCTGGTCAATATTTTCCATGTTTGTAAATAGTGTGAGTGGAGATTTTAAATAAATGCAAACATGTTTGCATGGGAAACGGAGCCATAATGGTAACCGTGGCAATGGGAAACACAAAAGGACCTCCATTGCATATCCCACAGGAAAGTCCTGTTGTTTCCATTGGCTTAGGAATAGGAATTTATTTGTAGGAAATTGTGGAGGCTTCAAAAAAAAAAAATAAAAATAGAAAGAAATGAAAAGGGAACAGACCTTGCTCTGAAAGTTCAATAGGTTGGAATTGATGTTATTGAAAACGCCCCACACTTTTCTCCAGGTTTAAAGCACTCCTATCATTAGAAAACAAAACACATGTAGTAAAACATCTCCCATGTGACTCACACTGAATTTTCTATTAGCCTGAAATTACGAGCCATCCAATCTCAATTAGCAGAACAGCAAGCAGACCTGGGGACAGAGAGCAGCACGGATAGTTTGTCCTCTTGTGTTGAACCACCTGATGCGGGATGTCAGGAAGTCCATTCAACAGAACTGTTGGGAACTACGGGGAAAAATGCAACTTCATGTTCTTTTCTTGTAGGGACCTACTGAGCTGATTACAGCATTATTCTTTTCATGAAATTACTTCCGTTTTTGAACTCCTATAAAGGGAGGCAGCATTAAAAGGGACCAGAACACGACTCAGAGAGCTCGGCAAACAACGCTTTGCACATTGGTCAACGTACAAAGATGCTCGGTTGGATAACCCAAGACTGATGAGAGTCTGCACCAAAATAAAGGAATACACGAAGACAACAGAGCTGTTTGGAAGGTAAGACTGGCAATTCTGGCCAAGCACCATCACTAGAAGTGATTATGATGAACAGCAGGAAAGTGCTGAGAGATAGGAGTGATTAAAACAAATAAGCAACACCTACAACTGCACAGGGTGCCACTCACAGACGCTCTTCTGTCTTCAATTCGCTCACTCCAGAGTCGAAACAAAACCAACGCTCAAATCTGCACGATGTCACTGAATATAAAGATGAAGGGAAAAAAGGGTGGGGAGGACATAGACTTTTGGAACTGTTCTCAACTTTAATCATTACTGTGCTATAAAACTTGCTGATCCGTAGCTCAAAGCGTAATACAAATACGGAGGAAACGCTTTGCAACCCTCAAACAGCCGTAGCCAAGATGTTGAGTTTTATACATTACCAACAAAAAGCAGCAATAAATACAAATCTCATCGTGATAAGAATTACTGATTGATAGCAGCCGTGTCAGAACAGTGGTTTCTACACACTTTCTTAACAATCAACCTTAAAAAAAAAAAAAAGCTGTAACCCAAAATCATTGTATTTTCTTTAGAAAATGGAATCCTTCAAGTGATGGAGTCCCCACCCCTGGAGGTGCTGGAGAACCATGGGGATGTGGCACTGGAGGATGTGGGCATGGTGGGGTGGGTTGGGGTTGGACTTGGGGATCTGAGAGCTCCTTTCCAACCTGAACGGTTCTGTGATGCTACAAAACGTCCCCACAGCTGACAGCCATCTCCCAGTAACAGCACGCAGCCTCCCTGCTCTTACATCCCATCTGCAACCACTCGTAGTTCTCCTGTTTGACTTCAGCTGCGACCAAGGAGAGGTTCATCACGACTGGAAATGGTGTTTTATAAAAATTAGTACAATCACACGAATCTGAGGCTAACATTGAACATTCCACTTCAACTCACAGGAACAGACATGGAGACATCAAGTATTTATAGGAATATCTACAGACTGCAACTGCCTTTTTTTCCTCTTTTAAACTATCACTGATCTTTAGAGTAAGGGTTTCATGACAACAGGCAATTGGGAAAAATGAAGGAGGGAAGCTTTGACCCTGCACAACCTTCTCAGGTTTGGTTTTGCATGCACTATGCTATTGACACTGCTACTTCATTGCACTATTACCTTCCTAAGAAGTGCATCCTGAGAAACTTGTGCAAGGTTGTTCTTAAACTTCTTACAGAGAAGGCTTAAAGCCTGACATTATTAGAGCTGCTGCTTCACCTGTATTCATACCCAGTGCAAAACAAAGGGAAAACGCTGACATAGCACACTTCAAATTCAGATACAAATGAGAGATTAGACATTCCACACTTTCTGACTGCCTTGGACAAATTAGTGTTGCTCTAACGAGCATTGCTGAAGCCCTTGTCTTAGTGTTGAGCACAGATTAAAGAAATAGACACGTATGACACGTAGCACGGACAAGCTGAATGGTAGCTATGTAAAAGTGTTAAATAAAGCTAAAATCCTTTTCTTTTTTGTTTGTTTTTTTTTGGCCAGACTATTCTGGATTCAGTTTGCAGAAACTGAAATTAATGGAGGATGTTTAGAGGGCTTGTAGACACCCAACACTATGTTCTTCCATCTGAAATGCAGCACAGTACCTGATGAAACTAGCGGTCTTCACGGCATGTTTCATTGCTGCCAAGATTTCAAAGCCATTATACAGAAGGAGCAAAACAAAGGGATGAGATGCTTATTTAGAGCAACAATCCAAAAGATGAAACTTGATTCTGTAAGGTTTTCAGCTGGATGTACAGGTTAAAACTGGCCGTGCTTTTGAAGCATTCACAACAAGAGCCGAGCAACCAAAACTCTGCGCTCGCATCCATCCACTCACATTGCATTTCTCAAATTGCTTTTTCTGAAACCAGCGGGTCCCAAAGGATACGTGAGGGAAGTAGACAGATCTGCAAAATCCCACAGGCCCCACAAGGCCATGTTCAAAGCAGACACCTGAAGAACATAGGGAAGTGGCATCCACAGTTTGCGTAGAACCGCTCAGAGCTCTGAAGATCTGGGTCTGCTCAAAGAGATGAGGCTGGCCAGTTTGGTCATGAAACTCCTACTGTGGCAGAGTCCTTGGTTTGTGGATCCGTGTCCAGCTGACGTTGTAGGCAACTGAACCGAAGGTGTTGGTGTCCCTGATGACTTCAATTGGAAAGCAAAGGCCAGCCCAGGTTGGCTGTCCATCCCGCTCTCAAGGTCCTCCACTGTATGAATAATCTGCCTTGTTGTGCATCACCAGCTTGTTATCTACGAAGTAGAAACTGTCCGACTGTGTCTCGTATGGATGGAGGATCATCTCTCGAACTGCAGGGGGAAAAGAAAAATCAACTGTGTTAAACAGAAGCCCTGCTGAGACAACAGGCTGCGCTGGCTTTCCTGTAGACTTTGTTTGAAGGCTCTTTTAAGGAACTCATAACCCAGACATGTTGAGGCACCATACAACATCTAAGGGCTCTACTTATCCTCAGAACACTCTTGTGGTGTGACAATAAGCAAGCAGCAGTCAATCATTTCCACAGGCTGCAGTATGAGGACAAGGTTACTGACATACAAGATGAGAGGTTATAAAGAGCATAAGGTTACAGAGATTTAATTCTGATGCCCACACTAAAACACATGAGATAACATCACAGTAACTGAACTTACTGAGATCCTCCGAGAGCTGTGGGAATTCATAGATGTGCTCACACGTGTTCTTACTGCTGGGGATGCAGAACCCAAACTCAAAGTCAAAACTCTTCAGCAGCTGATCGCGGAAGTAATGCCTCTCAATCATGCGGAAGTTATTGATGGGTTTGTCCCCTACTGTGAATTCCACCCTGGAAAGGAAGAATGAGAGAGAAATGAGCTTTCTGCTCAAGTAAGGGTTTCAAGCACCCCTATGTCAATCACTAGAAGTTCCTTATTGCACTGGCTTGCCATTCAAGCTTATTTAATTCTTCTGATGGGTATTAAAAAAGCATATGTACAAATAGACCCCTTTTGGTCCTTTTCTGCTTTATAAAGGGGGAGAAGTTAGAACCAGCACTGTATATAAGTTTCTCTTTGCCACAAGGCATGACCTCTTAGGGAAAGGTAGGTGTTGGTTACATATGACGTGCTGAATTTCAACATAGAGCAGGAGTAACACACATCAGTCCTTGAGAAACACACATTTGGAGCTGACAGAACTCTCACACTGCAGACCAACTTCTAAACACCTGAATAAAATAGGTTTATACTAGGAGCTCTAACCAATGGTCAGTAGAGTACTGTGGACTTAATGCCATATTAGCAGTGGGCATACGCTCTTAATTAGATTGAATTTAAACCTCAGTGAATGTAAAGAAAAGCAGATAACAAACAGCTACCATGTAGTGACGCATATCCCTCTAAAATACCTAGTAAAGACACAGAAGCCCACCAGCCTGCTCCTGGGGGTGGGACAGAAAGCAATAATTGGGATATTAGGGAAAAATTCTTCTCCAAAGAGCAGTGCTGAAGGCACAGCTGCAAAGGGAGATGGGGGGGCACCATCCATCCATGGAGGTGTTCAGGAACCGTGGGGATGTGGCACTGAGGGCTGTGGTCAGCGGACATGGTGGGGTGGGAATCTGAGAGTTCTTTTCCAACCTGAATGATTCTGTGATTGTATATAGGCTAAAGTGATGGAGGAAACAAAGGATCCAGCAAAGATGTTGGGAGATCCCCATCGCAACAAACGGTCCCTATTAAATCAACTCAACTTCCTGGTGGGATCGACGAGCAAAGAGCCACTTTTTACACATCCCAGTAGGAAAAGCAGCACGAGGAGCTGTTACTTACGTGGCCCCCACCTGGCGCAGGCGAAGGAAAGCTGGGGTGAACTGGTAGCGCACAAAGCGCCCCGCGTTGGGGTCAATGTCCTTCTTGTCATTGTGTTCACGCTCTGCAAAAGTGCAAAGACTGCATTGGGACAGCATTCCTTCCTAACAATCCCACTGTGGAAGCTGGTGGTTTATTCCTCTGCCTCGGTGGCAAAGCTGCGCTCTCTTTCTGCACCCTGGGGCCAACCTCGTTGAGTTGGCAGAGTTGGAAATTGGTTCCCCTGAACAAAAAAAAAGAACTGAAGGTCCCTCTGGCAGAACAGCGAGCAGACAAAGAGCCCTCTGTGTAGAGCCTGCATGAGCATGACTGTGTATTTTCACTAAGAAAACATATATTCCGAGCAAAAAAGATTCCCAGATGAACGTTTGAGGCTCTGCCACCAAAATGAAGGACGCACAAAATACTATGAACTATCTATCAGAGATTCTAATCCTGATTTTCCTTGTTGAGGAAAGGTGAAAGTCTGGTTTTTGAAAGCGGTTACAGATTGGGAGCTTTAGAAATGATCTGTTCACTGTTAAATAGAAGATACTTAACAAAGTTAGTATGCAGTAGGTCCAAAGCAAAAGCGGCGTTAACCACAGCACGATGTTAAGCAGGGAGATTCTTTGCCATAGGACACAGGAGATTCTGCATTGGCTCTAGACATTGGTACATGGGCTCAAGAAATAAGGGTTATTAAATACAAGGACATCATCTGCACAGTCATACATGAGCTGACGGGCTCATGAGCAGCCAACACACGCTGACCTCCTCCTCCTTTGCTTCTATTTACAACATCCATCTGTCCTTTCTCATCACAGATGGAGGTCATAATACAGGAGCAATTAATTCTGCCCGCTGTATTGGTGCAGAGGAATACCTGAACAGTGTTTCTGCTGCAGGTTGGGAATCCAGCCCTCCTGCAGGTGAAAGTTTCTCCTGTTTGAGGGGACATGTTGAGTAAAAGGGGTGAGAACAGGCCAAAGGAAGCAGGTGTTAATAATGATTCTTTCACAAAGGCAATCCTGTGCGTGCACAACCCACCTGATGCTGCTGGCTTGGTGATTTCAAACAACACTGTGCCCGATTCCATGTCCCGGATTTTAAACCTGGTGAAGTCTATTTTGTAAACGTTTTCCTCTGGGGTGCATAGGTAATCTGCAGAAGAAAGCACACTGACATGAAGGCTTTGTGCCTACGAAGGCAGAGCCAGCACCGCTGCTCACGCTGCCCAGCACTCAGAGGTCGCCACCTTTCCCCAACTTCGTGCCAGTTGCTTCTGGATCCATTTCTCCTTAAGGGCATTGAGAGCAGTCAGCACCTGCACCAAATCCTTGCCTGCTCAGGGTAAGAGGCTTTGCCTTTTTAAAAACTGCCCTCTGGCAGAATGTGAGCACTAAGCAGCTTTACGGGGCACTAAGCCGACTGCACTGACTGCAGCAGGATCCCCCTCCCCACGCCATCTCCCCTCTCTCCAGACAAAGCACGGCCTCTTCCCTCTGCCAACACTCATCCCACGCAAGGACTCATCATCCCTCGGCACTGAAAATGGCGTTGAAGCCTTTCCCTGTGCTGGGAAGCAGGGAGCCCAGGGCACCTTCCCCAGAGCACAAAGGCAAGTCTGGAGCTGCGTCTGTCTGCAAGTTAATTATTAAGTGCTTTCCTCCTGCAGAATTCCTGCCCATCCAGCACCATGGCAACAGCTTTATCCCCCTCCTTGGCAGCAGTGTTGCTACAGAAACAGTGTCCATGACTCATCCACAGGAGAGGAGAGCAAATCAGAACCAGCGGAAGGGAGAAAATCCCAAGCAGAATCCCCACCGGGCTCCTGCCCATCACTGCCTGCACCCCTGCACTAGTTTCGCCGATAGAAAATATTCAAAAACCTTGATTTATTTTGATAGGTGCACCCCTATCTAATCAGATGGCGTCTGGAGAAAGGAATCATGGAGTCATTCAGGGTGGAAAAGAGCTCTCAGATCCCCAAATCCAACCCACCCCACTGCGCCCACTGACCACAGCCCTCAGTGCCACATCCCCACGGCTCCCCAAAGCTCCAGTAGATGAAGTGGATCATTACAAGAAAGGGAGTTTTTGGTTCTTGCTTCTTTCACTTCCTCCAAAGCAGGTAGCATTGTTTCCCTGCCGTGAACCCAATAATGACAGTGCCTTCCTGAACAAGCCCTCACTTGATGCACCACTGATGAACAAGCAATGAAGGAATGGACACACGAACATCTTAGGAAACCCAGCAGATTGTCTCTTAGTCTGCAATACCCAGGGGAAGTACTACAAAAACAAATCACAACACAGGACCCTTTCCTCCTAAAGTACAGTGGTTGCTATATCCAGACCCAACTTTATTCATGTTCATTCATGAACTCCAAACCCAAAGTTATTCACGTTTATGACTGTCTCAGGAGAAATAGAACAAGATGGCCTTAAGTTGCACCAGGAGAGCATCAGGTCAGATATTAAGAACTATTTACACTCCAAAGAGCAGTGATGCATTGACAATGCTGCCCAAGGAGGTGGAGGAGTTGTCATCCATGGAAGTGTTCAGAAACCACGGGGATGTGGCACTGAGGGCCATGTTCAGTGGACATGGTGGGCTCTGTATCAAGCCCAAAGATCTGCAAATGCTTGTCCTTACCAAGTAGGCTATTTAGTGGATGAAATTGGGTGTTACTCCCAAGGGGAAGAAGGAACTCAAAATCTGGTGGTGAAAAGGAATGTAAATTGAGAGGATGCTGTACGAGAAACAGACACAGCGACAGCAGCCTGCAGTAGGATCGCCTCTCCCCATTGCAATGACAAGAATTTAGGGAATGAGAAGATTCCAGCTGCCATCCGGACCTATTTCTTAACATGCATTAGCCATCAAGGTCAGTGACTATTTTAAAGACCACTCCCAAGGTGCAAGCCAGGTATAAAGCAGAGACGACTGCAGAGGAATTGCTGGGAGCTGGAGATTAGGAGATTATCAGATTGAAGAGACTCAGGAGGAAGCGAGCAAAAAATAGCACCAGCCCAGCCAAGACTCGGAGCGGTGACGCAGGACAGAGTGCAGGACCTCGAGGGGAAGGCAGGGCATGTTTCCATTAAGGAAAGAACTCAACCACCTTCCTGCCCTCTGCCTCACCAGTTCAAATCCCACAGCTTTCCATTCCCTTCGCAACCCTAAGGCCTTGGCAAAAGGGACAAACCTGCTCAGCTCAGCCCTGGTGCTACCCGTACCCCATGTGCGCTCCCCTGGAGATCTCACAGCCCATCTTGCAGTGTGAGAGTGCTAACAAAGCCCTTCCTCAGCACAGCACTTCAAGCTGGGAGCCGTCACCATGCCTTGAAAAGGTTTGTAGCAGCGTCTGTTGTGCTGCTGAGGGAAGAAGTCACGGTGACAGCAGCTCGACACAGCTCTGCAATATGGCTCTGCTGCAGGAAATCTGCCTATCAAAACACTTCCACACATCACAGCCCCAGACAGTGATTCATTAACACCCCCCCCACCAACACCCCCAGTAATCAAGGCTCCTGATGCAGTGAGTGGTCTCAATTAAACAGGGAAGGAAGGGAAAGTCGTGGCTTCAGGAACAGCTCTGAAGATTGATCTGCACGCATTGCTTCACGATAACACAGCTCAGCTGGAATGCAGCGCACCCACCAGGTGCCTGCCCTGACCACTGGGCCCCTCAGCCAGGCTGGCTAAAGCTGCTGCCTCTGAGAGATCCCAAATGACAGCTCACAGAAGAGATTACTTTCAGAAATGATTAAGCACGCCTTCCTTATTTTTAGGCTTTGTTTTGTAAGTGTTTCCAAGTATGTCATCAATCATTTATCCAACCTCTCAGTTTGCTAGCGTCAAAGATGCCCTCAGAACAAAACTTGGAATATAAAACTGAAGATAAGCCTTATCCCAGCAGCACAGACAATCTGTGCAGTTGCCCAGAGCTGTGCTATGCACGGTGCTCTCAGCCTGAAGCTTGCCCTTGGTTATGCATCAGTTTGACAACTGGCATCGTCACGTGGCAATAGGGGGATGGCAAACGCCGCGATGCCATCCTCCTGCTGACCACCCCATGGCTCCCATCCCAAAGCCAGACAAAGAAATCAAAGCTGTGCTGGAATTAACCTCGCCTGCAGGCAACGTGGGAGCAGCACAGCGTGACCTAGCAAACATTCAGCCTGGTCGAAGGCAACAGGGACAGTGCTCAGCTCCTCTCCCTGCCCCACAACGCAGGACAACGTTGGCAGATGCACTCCCCAATAACTGCAGACACACCACTCTGATCCTCCTGCTGCTGCAGTAATTAATTGCAATTTGAACTGAGCTCTGCCCTGCTCCTTTGCTAATCCCAAGTTAATCACGTCACAAGGTTTTCCTCTTTTTGTAACCGCAGTTGGATGAGCAAGTAACGAATCCTGCTAATTGCAAAGAAAACGGGTCCCTCTGCTTTACGCCTAAACCCAGCCCTCCAAAAGACCCAGACACACCAGAGCAGCACCCTGGGTCCATCAGTTTGACCCTAGCGTGCCCAGAAGTGATGGAGGATGTGACACTGCAAGGACACAGCACTGATATGCAGGACAGCTTGCACGCTCCCCCTTTAAGCTTATTAGAAAGGCATCAGGAGCAGAGCCACGAGCAGCAGAATGAGTTCAACAGTGCGAGCTGCTGCAGTACTGGCCTAGAAGTTGGGATAAAAATGAGTTATCTGGAACTGTGAGGGATGGCCACGGCACCAGGATAGTGCTGCAATTCCTGCCCAACCATCAGCTTCACGTGAGTTGGAACACCTGGATCTGGGCGTCAAAACTGGGGTCAGCAGGATACAAGTGGCCGTGGTCATGAGTTGGGATGACTTGGTGGCATAGGCACTAAGATTTGCAATGGAAAGAGTTAATTCAAGTAGTTTGAAGAAGAGAGCTTTCCTAAGAAGGAAAAAATGGAAGAGGAGTGGGAGAGAAGAAATTTTAACCACATACTTCTCCATCCACTAGTTTCTGACTGGTGTAATACCCTTTAAAAGCCATACATGACCATGACACCACAAAGTCCTCGCCAGCTCCTCTTATTCTCCTGATGTTAAAACACAGACAGGGGGAACTATGTGCTGATCTTTCTCCTGGTCCAAGCAGCACTCGCCATGCTCTCCACCTCATATCCTCCTTCCCAATTCCAGGCATAACAAGCCACACCCCAGATACTGCCCTAACTACAGGCACCAAGGCTGCATACTGTACACACCAAGCTGTGAGGAGAAAGAATGAGGAAGGAGTTGTACCTGGGCTTCCATACAAACCTACAGGGATCTACGCATCAGAGATGGTGTGAACTTGGCCACATCCCCAATGCATGCAGGTCCTATTGGATCACAACTTCACACCTCCGCCATACACTTGAGCAGAAGCAGAGTAAGACACTTTATGGAGAGCAGGAAAGATGGATAGGAAATGCATGCGAGCGCTGCCCCATGGCAGCAGAACTGCTCTCCCTGTGGAGTGATCAGCTCAGCCTTCCTGAAAACATGGGTGCTTACCAAAAGCAAACAGCAGCATCAAGGCCAGGGTGCCCAGAGTTGAAGCCACGTGAGGTCTGCACACCCCAGTGGCAGGGGGGGGACACGTGCCTGCAGCCCCCCGAGAGGGCACAGCTGCATGCAGAGCCATGTGGGCTCCCAGCAAGCAAAGCACTGAGTGCAGCCATGGCTGGGACTCACCATCCAACTGCTGCTCTTCCAAGCGCGCTGCCAGCACGCTCCAGTGCCTGCTGCTCTGATTTCTGGGCCTGGGCAGTGAGTCACAGCCCAGCACAGCATCTCAGCAGGGAAACAGACACAGCAGACCCCCCTGGACCAGCACTCCCTGCAGGGCTTCCTCCCCTCCTTCCCTCCACCCAACCCGTGCTGCTCAGTCCTCAAGGCCGCCTGCATGCCCCGATACCCACAGCCACATCCTTTCTTTCTGGGGCTTCTCGTGGCACAGCTCTGGCTGCAGCCCTGATCCTGCTCCAAGCACAGCCACCCATCACTGCCCCTTCCTCCCCTGCAGCGAGACAAAACACACAGGATGCAAAAAGGCCTTTCAGGGAGCAGGAGGACACTCCACAGCCAGGCTGGCCTGGTGCATGTGCCATCTCCCAGCTCAGCACGCTGCAATCCCAACAGGTCCAACAGAGCTGCTGCCACACAAGCACAGCAGCCCCTTTAGCCCCATAGGATGCTCTCAAGACCACAGCAGCCCTACGGGGGTGAGAAAGGGGAAACCAAACAAACAGGAAGGCTGCAGGACGGTCATAACACTCCTCCCCATTGGATCTGTGACCCCATCTGAGCCCCTCCAGCTCCCCCCTCTCCCGCAGCTGGGGGTTCAGCCTGGCCCACCCATAGGACGGGCACAATGAGCAGCATCCCACCTCTGACCCTGCTTGGGGGGGAGGGGAGGGTCCCACTCCGCAACGTGAGCATCCCCGCCGGTCACCCCCACCCCTCACCCTCTAAGCCGGGTCTCCCCTCGCACCCAAAGCACTGCCCCATCCTTCACCCCATACAAACGCGGCGCCCCCCCGGCCCCGTACCGCTGGTGACCCGCTGCAGCCCCAGCACGTCGTCGGGCCCGATGAGCGCTTTCCGACCCAGCTCCTCCTCGGTCCTCGCTGCCGCTCCCCCGGCCCCGCCGCTCTTCTTCACCTTCATGGCCCCTCCGCCTCCTCCTCCTCCTCCTCCTCCGGTGTGATCGGCCCCGCTAAGCGCTGCCGCCGGCCCCGCCGCACCGGGAGGGGCAGCACCGCCCCCTGCACGGACCGCCCCCCGGCACGGCACAGCCCAGCCGGCAGCACCGCCCGGCATCGCTCCCTGATCCCCGCTTTGCACCCCGACAGCATCAGGCTGAACGCGTTTCTTTTTCACCTGTACGACCCCAAAGGGGTTCCCCCCAACTTGAGAGCTTTTAGGTTAACGTGCCCAAGGGAAAAGCTCGACCTCAGTAATAAGACCCAAACCCAGTGCTCACCGACCCCATTAATAACCACCTACCAACAGCTGAACCCCACAACCCCCTTCCCCACTAAGTGCTGCAGGCTACGTACCTTTAAGACAGGACTCGAGGTGGACAAAACCCGGGGAGCAGGAGAGATTCGCACGGCCCCCGCCCTGCCATCCAGCCCCCTGCACAACAGGGCAGATGGGGCAGGGGGGTTCTTTATTTACACATGAGCACAGCGCAGGGCTGTGGGGCACATGCAGGTCTCCCTCCCTTCCCTCAAGTCTCAGTAAGAGGAGTGCAAGCAGCAGTTCTGAGTGGAAGGTGCAAGACTCTGACTGTGAGCATCTCTCACCCCTGAAAGCAGCTTCTTCCCACTCTGGAACACACCCCCAGTCTGGGCCTGAGCCAATGCAGTTCAGGGTGCCTGCCTGCACCATGATGCAATGCATTCCGTGGGGTCCCAGTCCTAAGGCAGGGCACCTTCCATGGGCTCAGTCCATCTTGGTGGGTTCCTTCTTGTTCTGCCTGGCCTCCCGGAGCATCTTAGCCAGGGACAGGAGGATGGGGACAGCCATGGGCAGGAAGAGGGGGATGTAGATGGCAAATTTCTGGTCATCCGGGAAGTAGAGAAGATGGAGAAGAGAAGGGTCGAAGAATGCCCGTTCCGAGGAGGTGACAGCTTCCTTGCTGGCCTGGAAAGCTGAGTGCAGATGGCCCTCAGCCAGCTCTGCCACGGCATCCTGTGCTGCAGCCACCGCTCGGTATACCTGCACAGCAACACCACAGCAGTCAGTTCTCAACCAGAGAAGCAAAGCTAAGGGGCCTTGCTCCTGGGCAGTGCCCCAATGCTCTGTACAGGGCCAGCAGCTCCTGGCCCCCTCTACCCCCCACGTCAGGGTGTCCCATCCCAGCCCTACCTCTGAGGCGACATCATCTTTGATGACGATGTTACTGATCTGGTCTAGCAGCTGTGCCAGCGAGGTCAAGGTGGTGGACACAGTGGCAATATTCTCCAGTGTATGGGCCCACAGCAGGCGGTCCAGCTCCCAGTCGGCCAGTCCTTCATTCCCTGGGCTTTCCACCAGGAACTCAGGGGGCAGCTCCTCCCGAGAAATCCCAAATAGTAACCTGGGAACAGATGGGAAGGTCCCAGCCTGCATCAGGATGCACAACGCATGTGCTCCTTGCTCTTCCCCCTCTCTGGTGCACTGAGTCCCAGCAGGGCTCAGCTCACACCCAGCAGCTTCCTGAGTGTGGGGCAGGATAAGCCTCACACACATCAGGACACACAACAACACTCCTGACCAGGGAGCGGTGTTGGTTGGTGGTCAGCACCCCAAAAGCCACAGAAATTCACCCTCAGCCTCCCAGAGCCCACAGAGGGGCCGAGCTGGTGGGCTCCAACATGGAGTCATGGGGCTCTGACCCCATCAATGCACATGTGGGCCTGGGGAGGGAAAAGCGAGTCCTCACCGGAGCTGGGCCAGGAAAACCTCCATCACTCTCAACATGTCCACATCCACGTGCAGTGGGAGAGAGGTCTGGGGGGAAGCAGGGACTTCAACATTGTAAATCTGCAGGAGAGTGTGTCAGTAAGGCACAGCCAGAGCCTTATGGGGAGGTTTAGCACTGCTAACATCACAGCCCCATACCATGATGCCACCCCAGCGGGGGCTGTGGAAGGCATTGGTGGCCACTGGGGCTCCATCCTTGTCATGAATGTAGAGTGGGGAGTGGGAGCGCTCTGGCACATACAGCAAGAAGTTCAGCACAGGGTAGAGGGAGGCAGCGCTGGAACCTAAAGCAGAACTGAGTCAAAGAACTTCCCCTGGTCCACACAAAGACAGCACAGCCTTGCTCTTCCTTAAGCTGCAAGCCTCAAACAGAGCACTCAGCTCAGCAGGTCTCAGGCAACCCCAGCGCAATCATGTGGGGTAAAAAGGTGCTGTAGGAAGGGAAGGGGCACAGGTGTAGGCACAGCTGTCCCCACCTCAGCAGAGCCTGATCCCACCAGAGTGGAGTCAGGAGCAGCGCTCACCCAGCCGAGCCTCCACAGGGTTGATGACATGTGGGAGGCTGTGTGCACTCAGGATGAAGCTGGAGGACTCCTTGTCAAAGCGTGGAGTTACTCCAAGAACAGCGTAGTACAAGATCTGCAGGGACACGACACAGATGTTGCTGGCAGAGAAGAACATCCCAGGGCACGTGGCAGGACCAGGGCTGGCTTCTCCCCATAACCTCTCCCTGCCCTCACCTGTGAGTCAACAGAGAAGTTGGCCACGAGGTTCAGCTTGTCCAGGACGGGCTGCACATAGCGGTTCACAGCACCCTCGATGTCCCAGTCCACATCATGCGACTTGGGGTCAGGGTTGAGCAGGCTGAAGGTGATTTCGTACCCTGCCAAGCACCCAGAGTGTGAGGCACCAGCACAGCCACCACCTGGTGACACCAAGACTGGGCAAGTGGCTACAAGAGAGCTCCCCAGAGCCACAGGACCTGACACCCTTTCTCCCAGGCTCTCCCTGATGTGGGGTCGCACTCCAGTGCCCCAGCACATATGGATCACAGTGCAGGTCCTGTCCCCAAGCAACAGACAAGAGCAAAGGGAAGATTCTGGGGGCCATTATCCCAGACGACATTCAGGGTTGCTACAGGTAGAGTAGGAACAGCCTCGCTCCAAAATGCAGCTGGCCTTCTGGAGGACAAGAAAAGGAAACTGGGGTGCAAATCCATACCCAGGCTGGATTTCAAGTGCCGCCAGGCGTCAGGGCCGAGCTGACCATCAGGAACACGGTCTGAGAGGGCAGCAGTGATGGAGCTGGCCGTGAAAGACATCACCTGCATGAGCTGCTGGAGGCGGGCATGGAGTGTGGCCAGGCCCTGCCCAGCCCTCACCACGGCGCTGCGATGCTTCCCCACGTAGATGTTGACACCCTGGGGAAGGGGCAGTAGTGAGGACTGGGAGCAGAGACAGCTCTGCCAACACACCAAAGAGCCTGGTGCCACCCGTGACAACCTGAGGAGGAATGTGTCCCCATAGGGTACCTTCAAGGGACAAAATCCCACGTTCCTCCCTGCTCCTAACGGTCCCATTTCTTACTAAGGGTTTTACAGCAAGACCCTTTACATCACTGAACCCCAGGCTGCATTCTGGTAGAACAGGGAACATAAGAACTGTGGGTTTCCTCCAGGACAGCCTGCCCCACAGCCGTAACATTCCACAGAGGATGGCACTGCAGGTTGCCTCCCTACCTGAGGCAGGAGAGAGGAGGTTTCAGGAACCACATACACAGTCAGAGAGCCTGGTGGAGAGTCCTGCAGTGCATGCAGAGCAGCATCAGCCTCTGAGGAAGACAGATCCATCAGCAGAGCTAGGATTTTCAATCAGCTCCCCATCCCACAGGCAGCAAAGCCAAGCTTTGGACTAAGCCAGCCTCGGAAAGCAGAGCTGCTCCTCTAGGGCTGAAGTCGGGCTGCAGAGTGCCCACGTGCAGCCCTTCCAGGAGGGAAAAGAACACAGAAGTACAGCGGTGCCTGCTGTGACCCCTCACTCCCATACCTCGCACCGTGGCTGCTCCCAGCGCCGCCTCCTCCCGCGCCGCGGTGCCGCGATAGGCCGTCTCGATGCGAGATGTGACATCGGATCGTGCTGCCAGCGAGGGAAAAGACAAACCCGGGATGAAAACCCGAACGCAGCCCTCAGCGCCTCCCAGGCGCAACGCGGAGGGCTGGCGGGGCAGACCGCGGGGCTCTTACAGCTGACGGGCACCCGCTCCTCCCGCACGTCCCCGTACGGCAGCCGCCGGGGCAGATCCGCGGGCACCGAGCCCGGCAGGAAAACCACGGAGACGCTCACGGCCACCTGGAACTGTAAGAGCACGGCGTGTCACGGCGCGTGTCACGGCCCATCTCCGGCCCGCCCACCCGCCCGCAGCCCCCGCCGCTCACCGGCAGCCGGCCCAGAGCCGCGATGTCTCCGTAGGGCAGCGCGGCGCGGTACGTCTCCGTCGTCTTCCACCACAGCGGCAGCCCCAGCAGCACAGCGATGGCGGCGAAGGACAGCGCGGCGCGGCGGCCCCGGGAGCGCTCTGCGGGGACACCCAGGTAAGGCTCCGGACCTCGCTCTGCCCCGGCCCGGCCGCGGCGAACCCGGCCCGAGGCGCGGCGCCGCCGGTACCTGCTTCATCAGCCGCTGCCGCCGCCGCCGCCGCCATCTTCTCTTCCCGTCCCACTGAGAGGGCGGGGCTTATGTCCAGCTCAGCCATTTAAAAACTCCCGGCGCAAGGCGCGGCCAATAGGAGTAAATCTACAGGAGAGGCGGCTCAACTATGCTGGCGGCGTAGCCAATCAGAGCTCTGCGGGCGGGACTCGGTCTCTACGGGTGCCGCAGAGGGTCAGGCGGTGCCCACGCGTTTGTGAAACGAAGGAACGAGGAAGCAGCGCTCCTCCCCCACCCCCAAGCAGCCCCACGGCGGGCTGAGGCCGGACGCAGCTCATCGCGTGGGTGGGAGCAAGGAGCCAGGCACAGCAGCGCTGTCTCTACCGTTTATTATTCGCTGTTAGGCTATTTTGGTACACGGGGTGCACACGAGAACACGACATGAGCGTCCCGAGGGCGACGTTGACCGGGACTGCGAAGCTACGGCTGGGGCAGGGGCACCCCCAGGCCTCCCCTCCTGCCCTCCAAACGGCCGGGCCCTCCCCACCCTGGCCTGGCCAGAGTCCCCTTTTCCCTCTGGGGGGACCCAGGCCTCCCCCTCATCCTTTTGGGGCCACCTTCCCCTCCCCTGGGTGGCTGGGGTGGAAGCGGGGTGGTGTGAGCAGTGGCAGGGGGGTCCGGGGCGGGGGCCAGCAGGGCCCACTGGAGGCTCAGTATGCGTGGTTGGCCACGTAGAGGGACTGCCCGGCGGCCCCCGAGTCGTCCCCGCTGCCCTCATACTTGCCCAGTGCTGCCAGACCGTTCACCTGTGGGAAGAGAAAGCATCAGGCTGTGGGGCACAGCCCCAGCACCCCATAGACATGGTCCTCAGTGCCCTCCACCACCTCCAGGTGTCCCCCACCCCAAAGGCATCAGCGTTCACCAACCACAGGGATACGGCCCTTGGTGTCCTGATCCTTCTGCAAATACACAGCCCTCAATCTCCACTGTCACCCACAGGGACATGTCTTCTCCATCACCTGTAGGGACTTTGGACTTGACGTTCCCACCATCCACGGGGAATTCATTCATGGTGCTCCCACTGCTCACAGGGACAGGTGTTCCCACCACCCTTCATTCTTGGTGCCCTCACTGTCTACACAGACTTGATTCTTGCTGTTCCCACCACCCATAAGGACTTCATTCTTGGCCCTCCCACCCCCATAGAGCACAAACACTGGCACCCCATCCCACAGGGGCCATCCCCCATCACCTCTGCACGCTTGACGAACTCCTCGGTGGCAGCATTGGCGTTGTCCCTCTGCCCACGCCAGGCGCTGAGCGCTGATGCCTGCAGTGCCCGCCCATAGGAGAAAGTGAGGGCCCACGGCCGCACCAGAGGGCATGTGTTGATGGCATTGAGGTTGATGGAGGCCTCCTCCTCACTCTGGCCCCCAGACAGGAAGGTGACACCTGCAGAGAGCAGCATTATGGCACCAAGCTGACCACACGGAATCGCCTTCCTGTGGTTTCCACCATGTCCTGGGGGCAGTACCTGGCACGGCTGGGGGCACAGTGCGGCGCAGAGCAGTGACAGTGGCCATGGCAATCTCCTCAGGGCTGTACTTGGTGGGGCAGGAATGCCCAGGTGTCACCATGTTGGGCTTCAGCAGGGTCCCCTCCAGGTAGACGTGGTGGTCGCTCAGCGCCTTGTAGACTGCTGCCAGCACCTGGGAACAGACAACATGGAGTTTCGTGGCATGGGATGGCACGGCACATCCCCATCCCCCTGCCTGCCCCACTGCTCACCTTCTCTGTCACATACTGGCACCGTTTGAGGTCGTGGTCACCATCAGGCAGGATCTCAGGCTCCACAATGGGCACAATACCGTTCTGCAAACATCAGGCAGATGGCATCGCAAGCACATTTTTGGCCCCGTAGCAACATAAGGCAAAGCCTAGACCTGGGGGTGATGCCCATTCTGGGAGTGTCAATTCTTGGCCCCACAGGCAATGTTCATGCTTGTGGGGTGATGCCTATACCCACAAGTGATGACTGGCCCAAACAAAGATATCCATTCCATGGGGCAATGTTTGGCCCCAGGAGGAGATACCCATCCCCACGAGATATTACCCAGCCTATGTGTTGATGCCCAGCCCCACAGGTCAATGCCTGGCCCCATATGGTGATACTCATCCCAAGGTCAACGCCCAACCCACAGGTTGATATCCATCCCTACAGAGCAACATTCATCAGTGCCCATCACTATGGGGCAACATCTGTGAGTCAATACCCATCCCATGGGTCAGTATCCATTCCACAGGGTGCCCAGCGGCAGATTCATACCTGCTGGCAGATGCTGGCATAGCGGGCCAAGACGTTGGCGTTCTCCATGATGGCCAGGGCAGAGGGAGTATTATCACTGATTTTCAGCACGCAGCGCCACTTGGCAAAGTCAGCCCCATCCTTCTTGTACTGGGCACAGCGCTCCGACAGCCCATCCAGACCTGCCAAGCAGCACGTCAGCCCCACGGCCCCAAATCTCCCACCCTCACCCCACATTTGCTTCACCTACCCTGCGTGGTGGTCTCCCCATCTGTCCCGGCCAGCGGAACGACACCTTTGTCCACCTATGGATGGATGAATGGAGGGTGAACATCGATCCCCCACGACCGTCCCCAAGCACCCAACAAACCACCAGATTCTGCCCCCACCTTGATGCCCACAACGATGCCCTTATCTTTGATCATCTGGACGAAGGGAGTGCCATCGTCAGCCTTCTGGTACATGGTCTCGTGAAAGAAAATGACCCCCCCGATGCACTTCTTCACCCTGCTGTCGGCACTGAACAGGATCTGGCGGTACAGCCGGCGGTTCTCCTCCGTGTTCTCCACCCCAATCTGGTTGAGGCGCTTGGCCATGCTCCCTGCGGGCACCCAGCACCGTCACCCACAGGGGAAGCACTACAGGACAGATCCCCCCCTTTCTCCCCCATCACCCCTCCGGCTCTCAACCCCTCACTGACCCACGGATTCATCAGCGGCCAAAATGCCCTTCCCCGGGGCCACGATGCGCAGCGCGATGTCCGACAGCTCCTTCTTCTGCTCGGCTGTGAGCGCGGGGTATTGGTGCGTCATGGTGCTGCCTGCCGGCGGACGAGGGCTGAGTCACGCACCGCCACCGCCAACCCCCCCCCCCACCCCCCCCCGTGCGCACCACCAGCCCGCACCCTACAGGGATTAGGACCCCCGGAATCCCCCCTCGCCCCCTCCCCAGTCCCCAGCCCAGGGCACGTGTTCCCCCATAGGGTCACGTTGCATAAGTCCCGAGCGGGGCAGCGCCTCGTGGAGGATGCCGGAGAGCTCCCAGCCATTTTGCTGCCTGCTCGCCCGCCCCCAGCCCAGCCATCTTGAGGGAGAACGGAGGGGGGGGGGGGCTCGGAGCGGGGCAAGGGGGTACGGGGCATGGGAATAAGTGGGGATGGGGGTAAGAAGGCAGAGGGGTACCCCTGGGGGGTTTGGGGCGTGGGAAGACTGCTGGGTGCCGGGGATGGGATGGGGATGCGTCGGGATACGGATACCCCAGAGATGAGGAGATCTCGAAAGTGGGAGACCCCAAAGTCGGGGATGCTCCGGGATGAGGACAACGTGGGAACGGCAACGCGCTGCCCCCAGGCCGGTCCCCTCCGGGCAGTACATGCATCGTACCGGCTCAGGAGGTGCCCCGCGTCCCCTGCAGCCCCCCCATACCCGCGAACCCCTCTGCCCGAATTCCTCTCCCTATCCCGGGAGCCCCGCGGTACCGATCGCACCGCACACAGCCGCCGTCGGGGCGGCCGCTCCTTCCGTCGGTCCCTCCCGGCTGCACCCCGTAATCCACCCCGGACCAAGATCCCGGTTCCCCGTTCCCGGTTCCCCACTTACCGTGCGGGACCGGTGACGACGGGTACGGAACTGCGGGCTGAGAGCTCCGGCCCCGCGGTAAATGGGGCTGCGATGCCGCAGAGCTACGTGACCGGTGGGGCGGGCCCGGCGGGCGGCACCCGGTAGGACCAGCCCCCTTCCCCCCCCCCCCCCCGCCCCGCCCCGCCCCGCCGCCCCCGGGGGGGGGGGGGCTCCCCCCCCCCCCCCCAAAGCGTGTGTCCCCCTCCCACGTGTTGCTCTCGGGGTCCCCGAAGTGATCGGTTACGACTGAGGACCCCCCTGTGCCGCCCCGCTTTGCCGTCGGGGATCCCCCTTCCCACCGGGATGGGGAGGCAGCAGTGCCACCGCCGTGTCACTTCCTCAAGTGTTCGGGGAAGTGACAAAGCAATGTCACCCGCGGGACAGGGCCTCACTGTCACACCCTGCTGCTATAAGGGACCCCGCCGCGCGCGGGGGGGGGCGCGGGGGGCGGGGGAGGGGCCGGGGGGGGGGGGGGGGGGGGGGGGGG